CTTCATACAATACAGACTGTGTCAAAGCAGCTTTACAGTGTTAATTGTGTTAACAGTGTTAAGTGTTGATAATGCAGGGAGGACAATAACAAACAGTCCTTTTTTTTTTTAGTTAAAGTCAGTTCATTGTTGATTCAGTGATGTCATCATCCAGCTCAGTTCAGTCATCTTCAAATAGTGTCTGTGCAATCAAGCTGACAATATTGCCAGAAATGAAGTGTCCCCAACTAAGCAAGCCAAAGGCGATAGCAGCAAGGAACCAAAACTCCATCGGTGACAAAAACAGAGAAAAAACCTTGGGAGAAACCAGGCTCAGTCGGGGGGCCAGTTCTCCTCTGACCAGACAAAACCAACAGTTCTATTCCAGGCTGCAGCACAGGTCAGACTGTGCAGAGGACTTGTCTGTTCTCGTGGTCTTGTGCCGATGGTCATTGAGGTGACGAGGTCTTCACAAGGGATCTGTCTCTGGGGCACATCTAGTTGACATGGTCTCCGCTGACATTCAGGGCTGTAGAGGTCGTCTCTAGGTGCTGATCCACCATCTGGTCTGGATCTAGGTGGCCACAGTGACCATCTGATCTGGATACAGACTGGAGCCGTATGGCTACAGTGACCTCGGAATAAGAATGAAAGAGACTAATATTAGCGTAGATGCCATTCTTCTAACGATGTAACAAGTACATCGGGTATTATGGAAAATGTTCCTGGTTTCGGTTGACCTAATTAATGCAGCCTAACAATCATTTAACGTATTTGAATATTAGAAATGTGTTAGTGTGTTATGTGTAAGCTAGGTTAAAGAGATGGGTCTTTATTCTAAATTTAAACTGACAAGAGTGTGTCTGCCTCCTGAACAGGGTTAGGTAGATTGTTCCAGAGTTTAGGCGCTAAATAGGAAAAGGATCTTTAGGAAAGGATCCCAAAGTTTTGAGATCGCAGTGGACATGAAGGACAATAATGCGATATGACCTCACTCAAGTATTGAGGAGCTAAACTATTCAGGGCTTTATAATTAATTAGCAAGATTTTAAAATGTATTGGTTGTTCAATAGGAAGCCAGTGCAGAGTTGACAGAACCGGGCTAATATGGTCGTACTTCCTGGTTCTAGTAAGAACTCTATCTGCTGCATTTTGGACCAGCTGGAGTTTGTTTATTAAGCGCACAGAGCTTGAGGTCATGAACACATGAATTAACATCTCTGCTTTCGACATTGAGAGCATATGTCGTAATTTAGAGATATTTTTAAGATGGAAAAATGTGGTTTTACAAATGCTAGAAACGTGGTTTTCAAAGGAAAGATTACTATCAAATAGCACACCGAGATTCCTAACTGATGATAAAGAATTAGAGCAGCCATCAAGTATTAGACAGTTTTCTTGGTTATTACATGTGTACTCCTTTGACCACTAGCTGCCACGCCTGTCATATGCTTTAACTAGTTAAGCTATGCGGACCCGGATACGGGTCCAAAGTCCCGTAAAAAATGTGTATGCTTCATTTGCATAGCCTTCCTTATATGGTATCAGCCCATATATGGGTTCATTTGAAAGCTTGGAGCGTCTTCTTTACAAAGAATACCATTTCTTTTGGTTTTTATATTCATAAAGCAGTAAAATTAAGCTTAGAAATGTATTCGTCCCACACACGATTTTCCGCCTAGCCATTGCGAACTTTTTTTACGAAGAATGTGCATTTGATATATTTTTTACAATAAAGTCAAGTCATATATCACAAGAAAGCTCTCATTCTCAGGAATTTCATGATGTATATTATTTTATTGTGTGACAATCATAGATCGAATTATCTTCAATTGAATCGCGATAAAAAAAACAAACACGTCACTCAGGTCGGCCATTACAGACTCTGTGAACTCTGACACCGCCGCGTCAGCACAGTGGGCAGAGAAAGGAGGGGTCGCCTTCCGCTCGGTCAGCCAGTGGTCCCTGGAGAATGTAGTCCATAACGCGAGAATTGAAGGCGTTTGACCGCACGGAAGAGTTGCAGCGAATGCGTCTCGGATCCTTTCAGTCTATGATTATCATATTACAAGTTATATACGATGAAGAACGGTCAGCGCGCCGTGGAGAGCCTTGGAGAGCAGTGGACGCGCGTCTGGGGAGACTTTAGGAGAGATTCTC